AGCTCTGAAAACCCTTATTTTTGGTGAGCTTTCCCAAAGCAATTTTATAAATCCTGCTTTACAAATATGTAATTATGGAGCTAAAGTCAGAACTTGTTTGGTTTCAAAAAGGAATTAAATTCAGGCAACTTTTTGGAATGCAGTTTCAAGCAGGAATGAATGGTCACCTCCTTGTAGACAGTGATGCTGCTGCAGCTGATTCTATTCATTATACTGTATTTCATGTTTTCTTCACTGTCAACCCTTTATGTTAAATCAACTGTGTCAGGGAAGGACTTATGCACTACAGGAGCACATTACTGAGCTACTCTGGGCTTGCAGCTATGCACATGAGGGGAGAATCTGTCCTAATGAAACACAGGAGAATTTACTGAAAGAATTCTTCTGTTTATCCTTCTCCTGATTTCATTTCTTCCATTTCCTCACTTATCAAATGAAGAAATAGCTTTCTTCCATAACTTCGGTAGAGTTAATTCCCAGGATTCCCACTTTGATACTTCCAAGTTCCTGGGAACTCACATTCCTGCCAAGAGCAAAACCATTTAGTAAATCTCTAAGAGCTTTTGTAAATACGATGCCACACAGCAGATTAATCAGACTTTCAAAGCAAATAGCTGAGAGGTTTGGTAAACAAGATTTATAATAAAGCAAAATGTTAATATATCCATACATATATATACACATATATATATATACACACATATATATGTATAAATATATATGCACTAGCACTACAGCCAGGAAACTATTCATGCCTGGGACGACTGCATTATTAGTCACAGCACTGTGACCTCTCACCCCAAGTGATAAAGTACACAGGTCAGAATTGACAATACATACTCATGGCTGATCATGGCTGCCAGTTATTGATCCAAAGAGGGGAAAAAAAGAAAACTTTGCAGGAAAAAACATTGCTCTGAATTACAAACATGCATTCTCCTGAGACTCAGCAACTCTCTGAGTTTTTCCCACTGGAGTTGGAAAGCAAAAAGTGAGTTCAGCCAGTATTTAATATCAAGTGAATGTGGTGTTTAATCAATACTATTCTGCTTTTGTTCCACGATGTGGAAAGCAGTGTCTATTCATTCAGTAAAGGTTAATGCCAAGGGTCAAGTGATTTCACACTCTCTGTAGGATCCACAACATTTCAGTAGTTCAGATGCCTTGGACAATGATGACTCAGTTGGACTGATTTATTGCCACTCTAAGGTCCTGCTTAATACTAAAGTGCTATCTTATGATAATACCTCAGAAAATAGCACTGATAAAAAAAGAGGCTATAATTACCTACATTTTGAAGTAATGTCTTCATCTCTAACATCCTACAAAGATGTAAGGTCCATTTAAAATGATCTGCTCCTTGTATTAGCAAGTCAGTTAAATCAGCTATTATCAGTGTTCTCTGGTTTATGAAATGCTATCTATGCAAAAGGAATCTGGCTGATGTATTAAGAAAAATGCAAATTGCAAGCAAATGTAATAGTGTACCTCATTTAACATACATTCTAATGTATGTTAAATGTCTGTCTGCCCAAATAAAAAAATACTCTTCTAAGAAGACTGATTAATAAAACAAAAAACAGGAAAATTTTAAGACAAAGTAGAATAAAAATATAATAAACACAGATATTCTAAGTGGCCTTTGGTATGTGATACCACACAACCAATAGTATGTAAAATTCCTTCTATTTCTATTCCTCTAAAATTTCTAACTTGAGGGTAGATAGGCAAAAAGGGGAAGACTATAAACTCCCCCTCAATATGATACACTAAAAATGACATTAGGTGAGGTCATTGTCTAAATGTGAATGCATTTGACTTTGTCAAGGGTTCTAATTTTGAACATGTTAGGATCCCTGCTTATTATTCAGCAATGTCTTATTCAAGATGTGTTTTATATAATGAAAGAAGTTCAGATGTCACTAGGAAAATAGTGTGAGAAGAATTAATTGGAAGGCTTATCAGACAAAAGTAATTTAGAATCCAACTCTATCTAATATATCATTGAATGATGAATATATCAATCAATTAGCAAAATAAACTAAATTCTGCAAATTTGACTGAAGACATCCTATTATTATAAGTGGGAGGATATTTGGAACAGTTAATTACTCCTTATTTTAGGTTCTAAGTATGCAAAAATCCTTTATGTGAATTTTCAACACCCTTCTCTCCCCACAATTAGAGATATTTAGAAATTTCTTCTGACTTGTTTTAAATAATGATGTCATGTTTTCAATAACAGTATGGCAAACATAGAAGAAAGATATTTTAATGTGAATTAAAGGGAAAAAAAAATCCTGAATTCTTGCATCTGTGGGATACTGTGTTGTCTTACAAAAAAGATTCATCAGTGAAAAAAAAAAAAACAAAAAACCAAAATGTTCATTGTTACATTTACTGAAAATGGTCACTGCTCTGAATAGGAAATGTCAAAAATATCATAAAAGGCTAAGAAAGATGCTGAAATAATAATATTCTTAAAGACCAAGACAGCCCCTCTCCCCCCAGGCCCCTGTGCTTTATTTTCTAGATTTAAAATACTCTAAATTGTTCACAATTCAAGTCAACAGATTTATAATATCTGACATATGTTGATTTTTTCCTCTCCCAAAAAGGTTTCAAAGTCACAATCTGAAATATAAACCCCTATCACCTTTCTAGTTAAAATTTCATACAGAAATTTCCTTCAGAGATACAAAAAAAAAAAAATTCCAAAGATGTCTAGAACAGAAAAAAAAGTTTGCCTACTTAAAAAAAAAATTTAAAAAAATTAAAAAATAAGACCCATTTTGTTAGAAAAGAAAGTTTGTCTTTTCACTTGTACAAGAATCTCTCTTTAATTTATTTAAAATAAGAATGCCTTGGATAATCTCAGTTTGTGACAACAAAGACTTTGTCACACTCAATCAGACCACTGCACCGTTAAGTTCAGAATCTTGCCCGCAGGCCCAGTGGGTGCCCAATCTATCAGACAACAGGACCATCTATGGAAAAACACATATTCTTGCTGACCCTCTTGGGTGTGAGTCTCCACCTTAAAGAGGGAACTTTACTAATTTTTTTTTTTTTTTTTCCCCCAGCACTAAATAGTATTAGATGTGTCTTGCTGGTAGAGCTTTACAAGTTAACATTCAGCAAATTTATATACAGAAGTGTACAAAATGGTATCTTTCTTAATCCTAAATAATTTTATCATGAATGCATACAGGTCCAAATCAAATATAATACATATATGAAGAATAGCCATATATTTCTGCAATATCCCAAAATCATAGATAAGAACCAGAATTTTTGCATCACTTAATGAAATAAACAAGCTGAAAAATATGAAGATGGAAAAACTGGGCCAAAAACTATTGGTAGAAAATTTAGCATAACTGTATGATCTAATTATTCAAACATTTCAGCTTTTATCCAAAAACAGGGCTAAACAAGGCTGAATATTCTTTCTCTTTTGGGTACTGCAGTGGAATTCTAGTACAGAAGGCATTTTGTAGATTAAAAATTTACAAAAATTTTAAAAAGAGTAAGTTGTAGAGAGAAGAGAATGGCCATTCAGACCAAGATCCCTGTAATACCTAGTAGGATACCAAGAATAAAAATTTAAAAAAATAAAATAAAAAAAGAAGAAAAATCCACATGCCTAAAATTAGACTTCTGAATCCATATTTAGGCAATTAAATAAAAGGCTTAATTATGGAGGCTGCTAAGCAGCCAGGAGCACCTATTTTACTTAGTGCCATCCTATTGCAGTGAGGGCAGTGAACTAGCTGGCTTCTGAAAAATATAGCTGAGTTTCCAGACTAATTATGCAAAATGCTTGCTTTGTGACAGAGTGCAGCATCAGTGAGATTTATACAAGCAGATTCAACTGCCTCTTATACACTGAGTGGTACAGAATGATTTTGGATCTCCATTCATGTGCAAGTTATATGTGATATGAATGAAGACATGAATCAATCATGAATAAAGTGTTTATTACAACTCTGTTACTAGTTCTGATTTATGCTCTTCTATTCTGTTTTGGTTTAATCTTTTTTTATCACTTTTTTTGGTTTAATCTTCAGCTGTACATGACTTTGGGGTTTGGGAAGCACTTGAAGTTTAGTTATGTAACATTATCAGAGCACAAGAAGTAAATTAAAATATACACAAATATTTTTTTTCCAAATATTACAAATTTTTAAAATATTTATTTAAGAATTTAATTCTTAGGAAACACAAGTACTGATTTCATATTACTACACCACCTGAAAAGCACATTCAAAATAATGGAAAAGTTAATCTTACTTTTTTATGAAAAAATAGCATATTATTATAGATGATTCTGTTAAAGAAATGGTACTAAATACATCCATATTAATTCTGTTAAAGAAATGGTACTAAATACATCCATATTAAAAAAAATAGAAACAAAAATCCAACCCCCCTCCCCCCCAAAAAACTACCCAAAAAACCCAATCAAAAATACCCAAAACCACCCCAAACAAGAGTAATCTGAATTCTGCTCCAACAGCTAGTGTTTCTCAGCAGCAGTAAAGTACAAGACAGCAAAAGAACCCTGTCAAGTCTTAGAGTTCTTATGGGACAGGTTTCCCTGCAGGACTGAAATGTTAAAATTTCTATCTAATCTCCTAAAATTTCTTCTAATCTCTTAAAATTTTCAATTTGAAGTCTCCAACTGCTTAAGGTTGACTTCTAGTGACCCAGAAGATTCAGCAGCTAATGCCAGCATGCTGAACAAGACTGGCATCCTAACTGAACCCACTGGCTTTGGGAAGACAAGACAGTTTATGCTTCCAGCTGCACAAGAGTAAATGTGGCTTTTGATGTCACTGCAAGTTGCAATGGACACCACAGCAGGCTGAAAGGGATAAGCAAGCTCTCAGATATTTCTCATGCTATAGCTTCTTCAATCAGAAGAACTAAAACCAAGACAGGTCACCAAACCTAACAAAAAGAAACCAGAATGGTAAAGAGCATATATTGCTTACCTTCTTATTTTCTTTCTTTCAATAATTTCTGCAAGCTCTTATTTATTTGGGAAGTGCAGATCACCATAACAGAGACTAGAAAAGAAGAATGTCCTGTTATTTTCAATTGTAATGGAAAATCCCATCTATTCTCAAAACTCTCATACCATTTTTAAAGTGACATTATTCCCTACAATGTCCACAATGTCTGAAACAAGAACTTGTGGAACTGTAAGCCAAATATTTTACTCATAGTTTTAACATCATATCTCTCAAGTATATGCCCAGGACTACACTGTGTGCCTCCAGTTAGCACAATTTTTCCTCACCTCTCCATAATTTCACTTGCTATCCTCCTTACATCCTGCTGGCCCTGGCAAAGTATCCCTCAAAGGCATGGTACCTGTAGCTGTCCTTTCTCTGTTATTCATAGCAGGGGCCACTGGAGAGTGCAGCATCCTGAATCCTGACCTCCGGAATATTCAACAGCCCTGAAAATTTTCCTCACCTGTGAAGAAGGAGAAAAATAATTCCATGAAACTGCATGCAGCTGTTTTACCATGCAGCCTTATTCTGGTTTTAATATCATCAGTTTTTGAATTGAAATGTTATACAAATATGTCATTCTTTATGACAAGAGCCAAATAAATGCAAATACTATCATTAAACAGAAGCTTGAGTCTGGGGTGTAATGGGGACATCAAATGACAGAGGCAGTAGCTTTTGCTCAAGGAAAGCAAACGTAAGCGCTCTTCATCTTAAAAGTGTGATGCCACTGCAGCACACCATTTGGGTTACACTGTTCTGGGTGCTACGTAGCATAAATACTCCAAACCAGGTCTACAGCAGCTATCATTAAGCACAAAAATGTGATTCATCCCCAGGCTGAAACAATACACTATTAGCTGTTGTGATAAATCTCTTATTTCTGCTGGAGTCTGGGCTTGCCTGACCACACTCTGAAAAAAAGCCTCTAACTTCCCCTCAGAGATGAGACACATGCACACAGTCTCTTTGGTACAAAATACATAGTCTTTAAACACCATTTTTACCTGCAATATACATACGTGTCCTATGAGTCAGGCCTCACAACTTCATTTCTTGACTGTGATTATCAAACAGCACAAACTAGCTGACAAGAGGAACTAGAACTCTCCGTGAGTCAGTCAAAGACAGCACGGTTTGTCTAGCTTGGATAAAGAAGCCTTTAATCTTTACATGCACATTATTTGTTCTGCCATTGCACAGTGCCCACCATGGTGAGACCCTCATCTAGAGCTAGAGCAAACAGACAGTATAAAATAGTGAAGCTCTTACCTCCTTTCATAACTGATGATTTATCATCTTCTCAGTCATCTAAATACTGTGCTTACTCATAATGCTGACTGAAGATCAAACGAGCGTATAGACAGCCTCCCCCCACAACCTCTCATCCCTCTCCCCACACAGCTGTTCACATCGTATTTGAGGTCAGTCCAGTCAAAGCTACCTCAGCTTTGCTACAATTTCTGACAATACTGTAGCTTTTGGATGCCAGTGCAAGCAAGCTGCCATCACATCCCCAGGATTAGGAAAAGATTTTAAATTTCAGTCAACTTGGCCTTATTTGTTTGCCTTAGCTAAGATGAGGAGTTGTCAAACTACACAATTTCCATAGCTGTCAAGGATGTTTTTGAACATGCAAATCTGCAGTACATTTTATCGCAAACATTGCAAAAAGCTTTAAAACCAGGACATATGAAATATGTATAGTTTTTTTTTTTGGTTACAAAAAAGTATCTATCTCAGCATATAGGCCTTCACCCTGCATATCAATGTATTGCTGTCTCTTTTGTTTTGTAGCCAAATGGAAACAATAAAGCATCAACAGCATTGTCAGCTCCTTCGATTTATCTTGTTTCAGCCTTTTATTATACCCAAGCATGAAGAATGTTATTCTTACTCCGGTTTTATTTTGCTTGGAAGCCTTGAAATTTTCTGATGATGTGATCTAATCTCATATACCAAGCTTAATTTACCCTATCAAGCAGGTCCAAGAGAGGTGGATGTACAAGGCAGCTGCTTGCCTAACATCCTGAGGGATGATGAGCAGTCTGGAGGGTACCGGGTTCATTTATCAGTTGTCAGATATACACTAGTCTTCCTCACACATGATCACACTGTCAACCCACGATCCAGAAAACATCTGACTGTGGTGTGTGCAGCACATTAAATGCGAGTAAAAGATGTCAGCATCTTAGCACTAAATATATTAGAAACTGTTTACAATAACTAGATAAATATAGTAACTCTTTCCAGCACCCGTCACCACTAATTAAAGTAAGTTTGTTTGCACAACAAGTACATTTAATATCAATGAACTTTATTATCATAAAATATATTTTAGGAAATGTGTGTGTGAGCCCCAAACTCATTACATTTTGGGGTTTTTTAAACAAAGCTGTATAAATTCATACAAAGTTTAAACCGATTTAATTTACTTTAGGCGCACAGGCATCTCCTTTAGCTTTTTTACCCAACTCTCCTCTGTCTCCATAGCCCTCAGCTGCTGTTGATGCACACAGGAGCAGATGTGGTGGTGATTCATTAGCCATCAGGTCTGAGGATGAACCTTGTGTTCTTCTAGCTGTGTTATAAACCACTGCAAACTGGGTGTTCCACTCACAACAGAATTCTGCCCTTTTCACAGGAAAACACTCTTCGAGTTTTACCTGCCTAGAAGTTTTCCTCTTGGTTACAATTGGAGGTTTCAAGTTTTATGGGCTACAATAACAAGGGAAGATTTGAAATGCTAATGAAAGACCCAGACAAAACAGACTGAAGGATCTGTTGGAGAAACTGCAGAATCAACCAAGATGCAGAGAGAGACAGTGTGAAGAGTACGGTATTTATCTCTATTGTGGCGTGTTGCCTTCATCATGGGAAAATGCTGAAGACTATTCCCTGGTTTTGAGCCTTTAGCTTAGGTTCATTTTAAATCATTTATTTTGAATAAGTGAGATCACTGTGTTCTGATTACAGGACCCCTATGCAAAATACCATGCTTCCCCACTTCCCACATGAAATAAACATACAGGAGCAAAACAGACAAGATTTCTTATTATATTTGGCAGTTAGTCTTATGACTCATCGCCAATATGCATTTTTTTCTAGAAACACATTTGTTATAGTATATATAGTGTGTTAAAACCTTTAAATTCTAGAATATTATAAGACTTAGATGAGCGCAGCTATTTCCAGTAGAGAAATACAGTTGTCAAAAAATAAGAGTGATTCAAACACTGCCCTTTGACGTTTTTAGGTTTTTTTTTAAGGACAAGAATCCTCTGTGCTCCCTCAGACATCTTCAAGTGGTTGTTGAAATGTATTATTCTGCATGTTTAATACCACGTAGGACTCTGAAGAGATGAAGTTATACAACGCCTTAGGCAATTATGAACAAGGATTATAGGGAAAAAGAAGGCTGCAATGTAGGGAATAAGCAGCATGATATAAACAGAATATTTGATATTTAGGGCAACAAAATAAATACCATGCTGTCTTGACTACCACAATGTAAGACACTGTTTCTTTTCTATGCATCTCAGATCTATTTATCTGAACCAGCAATGTTCAAATTCATTAATGAAGCCATTATTGATTTGTGGAACGTGACTTAAAATCTCAGCAAACACTGAACAATCTGTGAGAAGCTCTTAAATACTGAATGTATGTAACTAGACATCTCAATTTAACAACCAGACATACATTTAACAGCATTAATAGCTAGGCACTTAATGGATCAATTCCGACTGTTTGTGTAATGTGGAAATAAAAAAGGCTTATTAAATGACAAGCTTTCCCTGGTTTGTGCTAATTAATTATACACTGCATCTGACTGCTAATTTAGTGGTGAAATGCAGCCCAAAACTGTGGTTTCTGCTTGAACTTTGCCTCAGCACCACCTAATTCTGCTCAGAGTGCAGCTGCGACCTGCCTCTGAACGACGGCAGTATTAAATTAGAGCACAAGGCCATCAATTTAATAAGTACTGTAGCAGGTAATTTGAATAAGGACAGTATTAGTATTCTGCCAGTGCACAACTAAAAGCAGCTGACCTTTCAGACCAGAGAAGATCCTTGAACACATCTAGCTGAATCGGTGAACACAGTAATAATCTGACCATGTTAAGAGTGCCAAGAGAGACTTTTACAGCTCTGCACCCATTACTATATATCAGCTATTCTACGGTATACAAGAACACTTTATGTACAGAAAAACAAGGTTATAAATAGAACAAAGGCAATGTGAAAGATATATTTCAAGTGGCACATTTGAAAATTTTCCTTATTACCTTGATTTATGGTATAAAGAATGTAAAATTAATCAATGCACATAAAAATGCACTATGAACACCCACATAACAACCCAGTGACTTTTTACCACAAATTTAGTACCAGGAAGAACACAAGTATGTGTTGCATGGTAAAAGTAAAGCATATAAAATTATTTTGCCATCATATCTGTTTTTAAAACAGAAGTATAAGAAGAACATAGCATTTTTTGGGGAGAAAGTGAATGTTTTGCCGCTAATTGACAAGGGTTTTTTGAGGTTTATAACCACAATAAAATTTCCATATCAACAGATTCTTGGTGTAGTTACAGCACTAAGTGAAATTCCCTTAAATTCAGTGAATCCACTTTGAAAGGAATAAGGAGGGTTTATTTCAAGGGTCTGTTTATAAATATTAAAGATCACACACTGATAGCAACAAAAGAAAAGTCATGATCATACTCATATGATTGATTCACTCATATGAACGATTCTTATGAAAAAACAGAACAATGATTTTCTGGTTTGTTCATTTTGTGAGGAATTGGTGGTAGAGGGAGGTATTTTCTTTATGTGAAGGGAAGGTTTTTAAAGAGCAGATAATACTAGTCTGCAGGCATCTCAGACATATCTTCTAGAAGAGCTTTTTAAATAGGAGTAAGGTTTTCCATATGGTCCTAACACCTATTTGTCAAGATGTCCCTTTAAGTAACTCTCAGAATGATATTGTGGAAAAGCACACTACCATGCCAGAATGGCTCCAGAAGCTGGGACTCACAGTAAAACCTGTCTGAGGGTCTTGTCATTTATTTCCTCCTGAAAGATACAGTTTAGGCCCTCAGGTCCTGCCATATCCACCCGTTATTTCAGAAATGGTCATGCATTCATGTACTGTCAGTGATCATACAAAAAGTTGTTCACCAATGCATGACTGAAGTGTTTAGCAATACTTGATGCCCCTCAAACTGGCAGGCCATTTATTTTCAATGACATAAACCTGTTTAACATGATTTTCCTAGACCTTAACATAGAATTGCACAAAAAAAAAAAGTGAAGTTTAAAGGCAACAGTTCTGTGGACATATGAATTCCTAAATAGCTATGAAAGATTTAATATTATTTTGTGTCACAGTGCACGCTGGTTTTTGAAGCATTGCTTGCAAATATGTGACACAGTCTGAGCTTTTAAACCTGTCGTCACAGCAAACAGATATAAGTTCATTTTGGACATTTACCTTTTATCCTCCCAAGCTGGAGCTAATGAGAGCCACCGGTTCAGGCTGGCAGTAGGACTCAGCAGAAGAGCTATGCATATTTATGCAGACTCCTGGAAACTGACACAGTTTGTCACATCTCCTCAAAAGCCAGTTCAGAATTTCAGACCATTTTTACTTTCCTTAGCACTGGCAGGAAAATGGCATGAATTTGGAGGGACAACTGATATTTCGATATTATTACAATACTGAGCACTTCTTTAATGGCAGAACCCAGGCATACATCATATTGACAGACAATTTACAAAATGGTATTGTTCAGTTAAAATATGCATAAAGCATTGTGGGCTATATAAAATATTTATGGTACAGATGCAAATGGCAGGTTAGAGGACCCCTCTGGGGCAGAAGGAGTCCAGTCTGGAAGGAACACAAAAGAAAAACAAAATGGAGGATAAAACAGCTAATATGGAAATGGGGAGGATAAAGCCACATATGGAGGTGACTTGGTCTCTATAAAAAAACGTGATCCTCACTTGTGGTTTCACAAAGTCCCACACTATTCCTTCTATGAAAATGTTTTAATTCTACACATATTTCAGATTAAAGTAAGGGTATTGTTCCAGATTACAAGTTTAGCAAGTCTGAAACTCTGTGGTGGGGGAAAAAAAAAACCCTCAAAATTAGAACAAAATATTAGAAAAGAGACCAAAACTGAGTGATGTGCAGGGATTAGACAAACAGGACCACATAATTCCTGGTTTGTTTGCTTGTTCACCCCAAATTCTAGCCTAATTCATTCCTTTACCTAGTAACAGGCCAAATGCAATCGACATATTTATACCCAACTCACCCTTAATGAAAAGATCCATAAAATCAAGGATTGATAAAATTAGAATAAAGGAGGAAGATGAGAAAGAATAAGATATGCAGAGGATTGAGATATCTAAGGAAAAAAATACTCCTTTCCTCCCCCATCTATTTCAGCCTGTGCAGATTCTGCAGTTGCCCAACATCAGACA